TTTTTGCGGTACGCGGGCCTCTCACTGTTGTGGCCTCTCCCGTTGCGGGGCACAGGCTCCGGACACACAGGCTCAGCGGCCATGGCTCACGGGCCCAGCCGCTCTGCGGCATGTGGGATCTTCCCAGACCGGGGCACGAACCCATGGCCCCTGCATCGGCAGGCGGACTCTAAACCACTGCGCCACCAGTGCGGGAAGCCCTCACATTCTTTTTGATAGCTTCTTTCTGGAATAAAATCTTTTTGAGAGCAGAGACTTTATCAGTTTGGTTTGCCCTTGTACCCCAACACTTACGATAGTCATTATAAACCTTCTGAAAAATATTAAATGAAACCTTCAAATTTGAAATTGTAAACCTTCTTGAAGCCCTAATTTTTTTAAGCTGTAAATAATGTTGGATTTGAACTCGATCATTGACTTTCACTGCCAAGGCTTCCAGTATAAATATGTCTTGTTAATTGTCATCTCATCCCATGGATTGTGTGTTTCTTGAGGGGGAGGGTCCTTGTTGTACCCCCAGTCCTGGCACAAAGCTGAATGAATGTATTTACACGTGACTGCAGGGGAGAGAGACCAGGTTGGGGGAAAGGCTTCTGCGGCCCTTGTCCTGCTCCACCCAGAGAAACTGTGCTTGGGTCTGTCTCTTTTATGTGCTTGAGTTCTTTGTAAAGTTTTATTTAACGAGAGTTCTAGACCTGATAAAATTCTACCTTTCTTTCAATTTTAAAGGCATGTGCTTTGTGACTGCTGTATCTTTGTTAACACCGTAAAGAAGGGATAAACAGAAGGGTTGGGTCGATGGTCTTTGGAAGTAAGACTTTGTCTTTAGACAGCTGGTGGTCAGGAGTTCTTGGTTATAGAGCATATGCTGTGTGGGGAGAACCTACTGTCTTTTGAGATCTTGAGTCGTACTTAATCCTTGTAAAAACCCAGTGAGGTTGGGGCTGTTATTGCCTCTTCGGGGAGGAAAACAATTGAGGCTCAGAGAAGTTAAGTGACCTGCTAGAAGTTGCACAGCAGGTGAGTGTAGAGCAAAGGGTGGAGCTCCGGTCTGTCCAGTTCCAGCGTCTGGACTGATGAACTGGGAAGGAGGCTGGAGGTCTCAGTTTCACCCCTTTGAGGTTCACCCAGGTGCTGGGGTCCCTGCCCTGTGCGGGGGATGAGACGCTCCCACTGCCAGTTGGTCCGCCTTGCACCTCCCCATCCTAAGTGGTGACAGTGTCCCCTGGTGTGTCCCAGGCCCGCTATGTCCAGGCCAAGCTGAGTGTGCACGACCGTTCCCTCAAAGTGGCCACAGTGATCGAGAGCCTGGAGATGGAGATGGAGCTGCTGTGCCTGACAGGGGTGGAGGACCAGCTCCAGGCGGATGTGAGGCCCACCCTGGAGACCCTGAGGAACGCCGGCATCAAGGTAGGGTGAGCCTGCCTGGACCCACTGCTGAAATAGGTTGCCACATGGCAGTGAATTCCAGACTTAGACCAGTGATGCCGTCAGTGGAGGGTGAAAATTAGAGACGGGGGGAGGCGGGGCCGAGGATGGAAGTAGTGACAGGGAACCGGGCTCAGACAGTGACCTGTAGCCCTCCCGTCCTTGACAGCTGCGGAAGACGTCTTGTGTGTCCGCTTTTGCTGCCGGCTTCCCCTCTGCATGCCGGGCTCCATGGAGACAGGACCGAGAGCATCTCCTTAGCTCTCAGGACCAGCTGTGTCCCGCGCATTTGCGGTGTTTGTTATATTCTTGTTGAGTGTCCCGCCAGCCAACCGATCTGTCTTTTGGTCTGGGTAACTGAATGACCACCCAACAGAGTGACCATCTGCCCCAACAAACTGCCATATTTACATTTTTGTTTGGGGCCAAAAAATACATATCTAGTAGTTTAATCCGGAGACGCCAGTAGAGGGCGTCTGGGGAGCGCGCTCCATCTCAGCGGACCCAAGCAAGGGATTAGCAGATTCATTGGCTAGAAGCTCCTGAAAATATGTAGGTTAAGCTGCCTGCCTCTGCCCAGAGCAGCTCTGGGCTGCGTCCTTGGGCCCGCATCTGGCCGGAGTGCCCGTGAGCGGGGCGATGTTAGCAGGACGGATGAGGCCTGGGCCTCCGTTTCCCACCTCATAAAGTTACGGTGAAGGAACAATGCACAGCACTTAACAGGTGCCCGGCACGGTGAACACTCGGGGAACCTTTGTGGTTATTTTCTTTCCTGCGCTTCCCCTGCTGCCAAGATATCCTTTGTCCGATGACTCTAAGGCCCCCACCCCACTTCCCCACTGGGAGCAGAGAGAGCAGAGGGTTAATGGGTGAATCAGCAGGGTAGGAAGCACATCCGTTTAGACTCTGAAGACCTGGGTTCTGGGCCTGGTTGGGACAGGAACTAGCTCTGTGGCTTTGGGCAAGTCACCTACCCTCTCTGAGCCCGCAACAGTGAGGCGCACAGTGCTCAGTTATGAGGCGAGGAAGACCTGGCACTTTTACTGTCGGCGTTTTCGTTAGGGTTCAGCCCCCTGAGATTGCTCGGGGGCATCCGGGCGTGTAGAAAGACCCTATGGAACGTGACAAATCAGTGTTTCCTGTGGGAAATGGAAGTGACCCCTCGTCCATACAGCCTTCCCCTTCTTTGAGATTATTTATTGCTTTAAGAAAAATTTCCAGAACGGAGATTAGGAGGGCAGAGGCTGAGCTTCACGATGTCTGTTGCAGCATGTGGCCAGTTTTTCAAAAGTGCCACGCCAGCTTTTGCTGCCACCAGCGGTGGACGCCCAAGGTCTTGAAGCCCTTGAGCTGGGGCCTTTCCTGTGGTTCGTTGGGGACATTGTAGGCCTCAAGGAGGTAAATGGAACGTATCAAGTTCAGCTCGATGTGTTTGGAAACTCGGCTGACACAGGCGACAGGCTAGCCTCAAACGCTAACCAAGGGGACCCCTTCCATGCGGTAATTTCAGGTTTGGATGCTGACGGGGGACAAGCTGGAGACAGCTACATGCACAGCAAAGAATGCACATCTGGTGACCAGAAACCAAGACATCCACGTTTTTCGGCTGGTAAAGCGTTGTCTGCTCTGGGGCCCTGTGGGGTGATGCTGCTGTTTGCCCTGTAACCTCATAGCCTCGCGTGGACCCCTGAGGCGGGTGGCGGGAGCTCACGTCGTTGATTTGGGCGGGATCACTGAATGACCCAGGCGAGGCTCAACGATTCCTGCCAGTGGTGGTGCAGGAGCGCCTGGTTACCACCCCATGTTAACCTGTGTTCTTAACCCGGTGCTGGCTGTGGTCCCTTTGAGGAGCTGACGGGAGTTAGGCATGATCAGCGTGAAGGCTGCAGATGAGCTCATACATGTGAAATTGTACAAACAAGTCTGGGATTTCCCTGAACCCTTCAAAGCCAACTCCTTGGGTAGGAAATCAGTTCCAGATCGCAGATACTGGCCTGTCTTCCCTCCTGAAGGAAACCCTTGAGGAACCTTTAGAAGGAGGCGTGTTGGGTGGCAAATGAGAATTCCCTGCCCTGGTGGCCAGCGCTTGGCCCAAGCAGTGCAGGCACAAGGAGCTGCTCCAGGGCTTGAAGCCAAGGACGGTGATTGGCCTTATTGAGTTGGGAGTTGGGAGGGGCACTAGGTTCCCTCTGGGGCCAGATGTGGTGGTCCTACTTATCTGTCATCAGAGCTACCAAGCCAAACAACTGGATCTAGATGTTTTGGGGGTCTCCCCCCATACCCCTGCCTTTGGTCTATAGCCCGTTGAAGCTTTGTGAAATCCAGCAGTTTCAGGACTAGCACAACCAGCATCGTGTAGAGACAGATACAGTGGATCCTCATTATGGATTCTGTATTTGCAAATTCACCCACTCACTAAAACTTGTTTGTAACCCGAAAATCAATACTCGAGGTGCTTTCAGAGCCCTATATGGATGCATGAACAGCAGTGGAAAGTTTGAGTCATCTGACGAGTGAGTTCCTAACTGAGGTGGAGAGGGGCGACGCTCTGCCTTTTTAAAAAAAAATTATTGATTGATTGATTTTTGGCTGTGTTGCTGCGTGCGGTCTTTTTCTAGTTGCGGCGAGCGGGGGCTACTCTTCGTTGCGGTGCACGGGCTTCTCTTGTTGCAGAGCTCGGGCTCTAGGCGCATGGGCTTCAGTAGTTGTGGCACACAGGCTCAGTAGTTGTGGCTTGTGGGCTCTAGAGCGCAGGCTCAGTAGTTGTGGCACACGGGCTTAGTTGCTCCACGGCATGTGGGATCTTCCCGGACCAGGGCTCAAACCCATGTCCCCTGCATTGGCAGGCGGATTCTTAACCACTGCGCCACTAGGAAAGCCCGCTCTGCCTTCTTGTCTCAGCTCTCAGGCGGATGCAAGGGTCCTTTTCAGTCTACTCAGTGCCATGTTTTTTGCATTTTTGTGGGTTTTTTTTGTTAGCAGTTTCACTGTTTAACATGGCTCCCAGCACAGAGCTGGGAACTGACCATATCCCTGAGTGCAGGAAGGCTGTGATGAGCCTCCTGGAGATAAGCTTCCTCCAGGCATGAGTTATGGTCCTGTTGGCCATGAGTCTAGTGTTAATGAATCAATAATAAATATATTTTTTTAATTAAAAAATTTTTTTATTGAAGTGTAGTTGACCTACAATATTATATGTTTCAGGTGTGCAACACACTGATTCACAGTTTTTTAAAAGTTATATTCCATTTATAATTATAAAACATTGTCTATATTCCCTGTGCTGTACAATATATCTTTGTGGCTTATTTATTTTATTTTTAAATTTTTTAATAGATCTTTATTGGAGTATAATTGCTTCACAGTACTGTGTTAGTTTCTGTTGTACAACAAAGTGAATCAGCTGTATACATACATATATCCCCATATCCCCTCCCTCTTGAGCCTCCCTCCCACCCTCCCTATTCCCACCCCTCTAGGTGGTCACAAAGCACCGAGCTGATCTCCCTGTGCTATGGGGCTGCTTCCCACTAGCTGTCTGTTTTACATTTTGGTAGTGTATACATGTCCATGCCACTCTCTCACTTCGCCCCAGCTTCTCCCTCCACCCCCGCATCCTCAGGTCCATTCTCTATGTCTGTGTCTTTATTCCTGCCCTGCCATTAGGTTTATCAGTACCTTTTTTTTTTTTTTTAGATTCCATATATATGTGTTAGCATACAGTATTTGTTTTTCTCCTTCTGACTTCACTCTGTATGACAGACTCTAGGTCCGTCCACCTTACTACAAATAATTTCGGGTTTTTTTATGGCTGAATAATATTCCATTGTATATATGTGCCACATCTTCTTTACCCATTCATCTGTTGATGGACATTTAGGTTGGTTCCATGTCCTGGCTATTGTAAATAATGCTGCAGTGAACATTGTGGTACATGTCCTTTTTTGAATTATGGTTTTCTCAGGGTATATGCCCAGTAGTGGGATTGCTGGGTCATATGGTAGTTCTGTTTTTAGTTTCTTAAGGAACTTCCATACTGTTCTCCATAGTGGTTGTATCAATTTACATTCCCACCAGCAGTGCAGGAGGGTTCCTTTTTCACCACACCGTTTCCAGCATTTATTGATTCTAGATTTTTTGATAATGGCCATTCTGACCGGCGTGAGGCGATACCTCGTAATTTTGATTTGCATTTCTCTAATAATTAGTGATGCTGAGCATCTTTTTATGTGCCTCTTGACCATCTGTATGTCTTATTTGGTGAAATGTCTGTTTAGGTGTTCTGCCCATTTTTTAATTGGATTGTTTGTTTTTTTGATATTGAGCTCCATGAGCTGTTTGTATATTTTGGAGATTAATCCTTTGTCCATTGTTTCATTGGCAAGTATTTTCTCCCATTCTGAGGGTTGTCTTTTCATCTTGTTTATGGTTTCTTTTGCGGTGCAAAAGCTTTGAAGTTTAATTAGGTCCAATTTGTTTAGTTTTGTTTTTATTTTCATTACTCTAGGAGGTGGGTCAAAAAAGATCTTGCTGTGATTTATGTCAAAGAGTGTTCTTCCTGTGTTTTCCTCTGAGAGCTTTATAGTGTCTGGTCTTACATTTAGGTCTTTAATCCATTTGGAGTTTATTTTTGTGTATGGTGTTAGGGAGTGTTCTAATTTCATTCTTTTGCATGTAGCTGTCCAGTTTTCCCAGCACCACTTATTGAAGAACCACCATTGTATGTTCTTGCCTTCTTTGTCATAAATTAGGTGACCATATGTGCGTGGGTTTATCTCTGGGCTTTCTATCCTGTACCATTGATCTATGTTTCTGTTTTTGTGCCAGTACCATACTGTCTTGATTACTGTAGCTTTGTAGTATAGTTTGAAGTCAGAGAGCCTGATTCCTCCAGCTCTGTTTTTCTTTCTCAAGATTGCTTTGGCTATTCAGGGTCTTTTGTGTTTCCATACGAATTGTAAAATTCTTTTGTTCTAATTCTGTGAAGAATGCCGTTGGTAGTTTGATAGGGATTGCATTGAATCTGTAGATTGCTTTGGGTAGTACAGTCATTTTCACAATATTCATTCTTCCAATCCAAGAACATGGTATATTTCTCCGCCTCTTTGTGTCATCTTTGATTTCTTTCATCGTCTTATAGTTTTCTGACAAGTCTTTTGCCTCCTTAGGTTGGTTTATCCTAGGTATTTTATTCTTTTTGTTGTGATGGTAAATGGGATTGTTTCCTTAATTTCTCTTTCTGATTTTTCGTTGTTAGTGTATAGGATTGCTAGAGATTTCTGTGTGTTAATTTTGTATCCTACAGCCTTACCAAATTCATTGATTAGTTCTAGTAGTTTTCTGGTGGCATCTAGGATTCTCTATGTATAGTATCATGTCATCTGCAAACAGTGACAGTTTTACTTCTTCTTTTCCAATTTGTATGCCTTTTATTTCTTTTTCTTCTCTGATTGCCGTGGCTAGGACTTCCAAAACTATGTTGAAGAGGAGTGGCAAGAGTGGACATCCTTGTCTTGTTCCTGATCTTAGAGGAAATGCTTTCAGTTTTTCACCGTTGATTATGATGCTTTCTGTGGGTTGGTCATATATGGCCTTGATTATGTTGAGGTAGGTTCCCTTTATGCCCATTTTCTGGAGAGTTTTTTTTATAAATTGGTGTTGAATTTTGTCAGAAGCTTTTTCTGCATCTGTTGAGATGATCATGTGGTTTTTATTCTTCAGTTTGTTAATATAGTGTATCACATTGATTGATCTGCATATATTGAAGAATCCTCACATCCCTGGGATAAATCCTACTTGATCATGGTGTATGATCCTTTTAATGTGTTGTTGGACTCTGTTTGCTAGTATTTTGTTCAGGATTTTTGCATCTATGTTCATCAGTGATAGTGGTCTATAATTTTCTTTTTTTGTGATACCTTTTTCTGGTTTTGATATCAGGGTGGTGGCTTTGTAGAATGAATTTGGGAGTGTCCCTCCCTCTGCAGTTTTTGGAAGAGTTTGAGAAGAATCTGTGTTAGCTCTTCTCTAAATGTTTGAAAGAATTCGCCCGTGAAGCCATCTGGTCCTGGACTTTTGTTTATTGGAAGATTTTTAATTACAGTTTCAATTTCATTACTTGTGATAGGTCTGTTTATATTTTCTAATTCTTCCTGATTCAGTCTTGGAAAATTGCACCTTTCCAAGAATTTGTCCATTTATTCATGGTTGTCCATTTTATTGGTATATAGTTGTTTGTAGTAGTCTCTTATAATCCTTTGTATTTCTGCAGTGTCAGTTGTGATTTCTCCTTTTTCATTTCTAATTTTATTGATTTGCATCCTCTCCCTTTTTTTCCTGATGAGTCTGGCTAAGGGTTTATCAATTTTGTTTATCTTCTCAAAGAATCAGCTTTTCGTTTTATTGATCTTTGCTATTGTTTTCTTCGTTTCTGTTTCATCTATTTCTGCTCTGATCTTTATGATTTCTTTCCTTCTACTGACTTTGGGTTTTCTTTGTTCTTCTTTCTCTAGTTGCTTTAGGTGTAGGGTTAGATGGTTTATTTGAGATTTTTGTTTCTTGAGGTGAGATTGAATTGCTATAAACTTCCCTCTTAGAACTGCTTTTGCT